CATGGCACTAGTGATCTCAAGGATAGTAGGATTTCACAAAGCTCTGATCCACTGGTTTCCAAATGCTATTTTATAAGTTGTTACAGCACTACATTCATGAAGTCAGGATCATTTGTGTGATTTTTATAAAAATAGTCTATAATAGTCTCTATAACTAATATAAAAGCATTGGTCAGCCATCTTGAAAGTATAGCTAGCAACAAAAGTAAGTTGAGCACAATAATGTCTAAATATCTACACAAAAGTCCTAACTAGTGTTACAGTAAGTTAATATGTACACCTTACTGCTGATACAAATAAAGAACATCATCTCAGTGTATCATAGTGTAGACAGATATAGCCCATGCTTTATTGGTGAAATTTACTTGCCTCTTTATCTTTCCGATCCCCTTGGTAATCTTCTGGGGTCCCTAAAGCTACCTATGTTGTCATGCAGCATGTCTTTTGTCTTCATTTCAGCATTTTCCATAGGTTCTTACATTGAACAATAAATAGTCTTTTGAGAAATATCAATAGGTATAATATAACCAAATAAATCTGGGAAAAAATGTGTCTTCATTTCTATAGATTTGCAGTTCACATTAGTATATGAAAGGCTCACAAAAATTAATCTTTTAATACATTGTTACAACAATTATTTGAGCATGGAACATCTTTGTCTAACATTAGCTTCTGAAAGAACAGTAGTCCACACAACACCAAAAGCCATGACAAAAATTCAACATGTATTAGTGACCAATGCTCTGCAAAAGGAACACTATATCAACAAATTTATTTTAAAAACAAGACACTTGTTATCTGTTGAAAAGTGCCCCAACCCATCAAGAAAAGAGTATTTTGTAATTCTAACTCCCTACTACCAAAGAATGTGATTTTATTTGGAGATTACCGAGGTAATCATTCTCCTTCGAATTGCTTTATTATTCAGGGTTTGTTTACCTACTTATTTTGCTAAATGTTGCTGATTATTGTGCTTTTTTCATTTAACTATCTAGTTCTTCTAAAATAAGAAATCCTACTAAATGATAAAATACAAGGTAAAAAAATGCCCCATTTATCCTCATCTTGCAAAGATGTAAAAGACATTAAATTTGAAATTCATTATTATTATTTTACTTAAAATATAATGAATAACTATAAATGAAAGATAAAATAACTATAAATTAAAAAGAAATGTGAAAAATAATTTTTCATGATTTATTTTATTTATTTGAACGGGAGAGTGACAGAAACAGAGAAAGAGATACTGGTAAAAAGATCTACACTTTGTTGTTTCACTCTCCAAATGGCTGCAATGTCTGAGGTTGGGCCAGGCCAAAGCCAGGAGCCTGGGACTCCATCAAGGTCTCCAATGTGGATGGCAAGGGCCCAAGTATTTAGGCCATCTTTCTCTGCCTTCCCATGCTTTTTATCAGAGAGCTATAACTGAAGCCAAGCAGATAGAACTTGAACCAGTGCTCTAACACAGGGTGGCAACACTGGCAAGTGGTGGCTTAACCCACTGCACCACAATGGTAGCTCCCCAAAAAGAATTTTACTTTGTGAAAAAACTTGGAGATCTTATCGTACAATAGCTGTTGTCAGGAATAAGGAATGAGATTCATTTTGAGACAAGACACTTAAGAGGTGAGAGAGAAGAGCATAGCTCTAAAATGTGTTTGAATGGTGATACTACTTCTTGTCAAAAATAAGGGACTTTCAAAGACAGACCAAGCAAAAAATGGGATATGTGATGGTTAATTTTATCTGTCAGATTATATGGATACTGGTTAAATATTCTTTCTAGGTGTTTCTGAATGAAATTGATATTTTAACTGGTAGACTGAGCAAAGATTATTATCCTCCCCAATGCAGTAGGGCTTCTTCCAATCAGATGAAAGCCTGAATAAAATATAGGCTGAGTATGAAAGATTTCCTTCTCTGTGCCTGATTGTCTTTGAGCTGGGACATCAGCAATATTTTGACTTTGCACTCATAGTTGGACTTGTACTTGAACTTACACCATCAATTCTTGGGTTCTACAGCCTTTTGGCTCAGACTGCAACTATTCAATTGGCTCCCCTGTATCTCTAGCTTAGTGACTACAGATTACAACTCCTTATATGTAGTCTGGAATTATATATAGCTATATTATATTTCCATGTATAACAAGAAATATATAAATATCTATTTGTATTATATATTAGGATACTTATATATTGCATTAGGGTACTTCATAAAATTTCATGTAAAGTATATATTACAAAAAAACCTATGCATGCATTTCCAATTTTTTTTGTACCAAAACAAAATGCCATTTTAATTCTATTTTTCAATGGACTTTTTGAAGTTCCCTTGTATGTTCTATTTTTCTACAGAACCCAGGCTAATCCAGGATAGAACGTCAAATATGCCAATTTTAAGAATTATGCAAGAGAAGGTAGATAATAGAATGGATTGTTGTATAAATTTAGGTATTCATTTTTTGAAAGTCAGAATGACAGAGAGAGAGAGGAGAGACCTTCCATCTGCTGGCTCACTCCCCAAATGTCTATAATAGCCAAGATTGGGCCAGGCAGAACCCAGGAGCTTTAGACTCCAGCTGGGTCTCCCACATGGGTCACAGGAGCCCAACCACATAAGCCAGCATTTGCTGCCTCTCAAGATAAATTCAGAGGAAGCTGGAATGGAACAGAGTAGCAAGGATTCAAACTGGGATGCAGGAATACCAAGAGGTGCCTCAAACCACTGTGCCAAAACACTCACCTGGATAGACTAGCTTTCTAAATAAAAATGCCCATTATGGGATGCCATCTGGGGCAACAGTTAAGACATCACTCTGGAAACCAGTTAAAACATCACTCTGGAAATCACTCTGGAAGCCTACATCAGAGTGCCTGGGTTTGAGTCCCAATTTCACTCCTGATTCTAGCTTCCTGCTAATGTGCACCTTAGAAGGCAGCAGGTGGCCGGCGCTGTGGCTCAATAGGCTAATCCTCTGCCTGCAGTGCCGGCACCCCAGGTTCTAGTTCCGGTCAGGGCACCGGATTCTGTCCTGGTTGCCCCTTTTCCAGGCCAGCTCTCTGCTGTGGCCTGGGAAGGCAGTGGAGGATGGCCCAAGTCCTTGGGCCCTGCACCCCCATGGGAGACCAGGAGAAGCACCTGGCTCCTGGCTTCGGATCAGCGCGGTGCAGCGGCTGCAGCACCTGCAGCGCGCCAGCCACTGCGGCCATTGGAGGGTGAACCAATGGAAAAGGAAGACCTTTCTCTCTGTCTCTCTCTCTCACTGTCCACTCTGCCTGTCAAAAAAAAAAAAAGGCAGCAGGTGATGACTCAAGTAGTTGAGTCCCTGCCATGTACAAGGGAGCTCTACATTGAGTTCTTAGCACCTGGCTTTGGCCTGGCTCAGCCCCAGCTGGTGCAGTCATTTGGATAGTGAACAGCAGATGGGAGATCTCTGTCTCATTTTGTCTGCTTTTCAAATAAATATTTTTAAAAATAAAAATGCCTATAAGAATCTGTGCTTACACCCACATTTACACTTAATATACTAGATCCTAAGGACTTATTTACCATCTTCTTTCATTTTTTAAAGGTTTAAAAGCAAGATTTATTAGAGTCAGAGACCTCCAGCCGGAGTGGCATGGAGGGGTGCTCCAGGAGAGGCAAAACTCAAAGGGGCTGGTGGTACTGGGGTTTTTGAGCACAATTTTTTGGGGGAAAAAACTTGACATTCAGTTCCAAGGCAGGGACAAGCCCCATCAACAGACCTGATTTGCAATCTTTTATCCTATCTGGCTTGCTCATGACAAAAGGGAAATGGTTTTGAAGGACAGCAACTCACCATGTCTCCTTTAATACAGCTGACTAATAATGATGCTTGAGTACTTTCAATGCTCAATAAGTTGCTACTGGGTAAACACATGAATGAACAAATAACGCATGTGTTCACCTATATTTCTTATAATCTTCAAGTACGTTAAATGTTAGTTGTGATCATCTGGTCATTTTATTTTTGATAGAATCAACAGTTGATAATTTCCTTTTGTTTTAGAAATGTTAAACTCCGAATAATGATAAATTAACACATAATGTATTTAGTGTGAATACAGGTAATATTAATTATGGCTTACAATTAACTATATCTCTAACCATATTTTGTTCTAAAACACATATAATCTATATCAAACCTTTCTCTACCTAAGAGTATTCTATATGACAAAGAATCTATGATTTAAATGTACTGGATTGCAATTATGTTTGTAAGCATTAGATTTATCATAGAATATCATAAGGCTATTTGAGAATCAATTTTTGACAAAACTGCAAATAGGCAGGAATTAGGGTAGCTGTGAATGAGGAACAAGAAGTTTGTCATATTAAAGTCACACAAAAAATAAAGTCTTCAATATAATTACCTAAGATTGTTTAATATGCATGAACAACTTCCTCTGAGAAACAGAATTTACAATGTACATATTAAAGAATATAAGCTCTCAAAGACAGGCCTTTTAGTTACATGCTTCTTTTACACGAGTAAATGCTGAATGCTCATTCCAATGTCAAGTGTTCTGACATAAAATCAGGTAAAATGGACAAAAATCTCTTTTGCCATTTTGATTATATAATTTTTATATAAATTATAATTATATATGATCTGAGCTAAGTTGATATAATCACTTTTAATGTTTATCATATATGAAGAATAACAAAAAATTCTCTTTCTACTTGCTATAGTTTTTTATTTTTTGCTTCTTGGAAACCATAAAAAATTTTCCTAATTTCATATCCCAAATAATTTGGAATAGCAAATAATCACTTGATTTTCAAGTAGCAAATTTTTTTTTATTACTTTTTGATATGCAGAAATCTTAAAACAAGCCCAATTGATTGCATGCTTTTATACAGGTGATTGGATTCAGGAAAGAAAAATGACAAGCAGCAATTTGTGAAATGTATGTTTACTCTGGTATATTTTCATCTTTGCATGCTTACTAGAAAAGAAATGATTTAATGTTCACCTTTAGTTGCAGTGCCTTCTCTAAGTTTTCAATCTTTCTTTCAGCTTTTCTCAGCTTCCTTAGCTCCTCTGAGTCTGTAATAGAGTTCTTTGGGGACAAAGACCTTGAACGTTTCACAGGTGGTTCCTGGAGAATAAAACAAGGACATGGTTGAACTAGTTGGAACAGTGGATTATGAAAGCCATGCAAAATTAAAGAACAAGTAATTTTGAATACTAATAATGAATTATAAAAAAAATCCTGCATGGAATACCAGAGAAATAACAAGCGGAATTACCACAGTGCTACCGCTAAAGGTTTCTCTGTGACTCGTTAATGAGAATATTCATTTACATTTACATTGTTTCTTTCAGAATAATGATGTCCCATTAGGGAAGACTAAAGGGTTATAGACTCAGAAATGCAAGAAACCTCATTACAAAGGAGGGGATAGAGGCTGGTCTAATTGCTCTATAAGGGTCCAAGGTTACACTTGATAGGACAACCAGAAACAAGAGGGAAAGGATTTTTTTCCCTTTGAAATAGTTTAACACACTGTGAAGTTGAAGGAACAATATGCTTGAGGAATATAAATACAACAGACAGTAGATCTTATACCATAATGACCATATGGTCATTAACTATAATGTGGCTAACTAGAGACAAGAATGTGTGTTTGTATTATGTACAGCTCCATATACCAATCTGGAGAAGGAATATGTGAGAGCAACTATTAAGCTGGGCAACACAGTGTTCATCCTTACGGCCTGTCCTTACAGAAAAGAAAGGAACTTTTCTGCAGAATACCCATCTCCTTTTCTCAGAGTTTTTATTAAAGCAGTGAAACATCAAAGCAGTACATTTCAAAACTTTACTTATCCAGCAAACACCAAAGTGGGCCCCATAATAATAATAATCTCAATTTTAGGGATGTTTAATTTAAATAAAGCTTGTAAAACTACTTCGAAATGGCACAAAATGCATAGCACAGTTATGTTTTAATAAATAAATAAATACAACTCATTCCTATGAACATTACTTATAGAGAATGAGTAAGAATGCCGCATAGAAACGGTTTTAAGCTTAAATGCTTCCTTTATTAAGATAGCTTGTTTTACTCACAGAAAAAAAAAAAAAACAAAAACAATTATCTTAAACATGTGAATTTCTGCTTACAAAAAACAGATGTGCTACTTCTGTGGTTGAAGTAACAAGTGTGAGAGAAAACTGTCTCAGCTTCATACTATTTTGTGCTTGTCAACATTCTATGCAATCATTTGCAGTGTAACAGAACTATGTAATGAATACATCATTAAATGATAAATATGCTATGCAAAACCTGCTTATTTTCTGTTACCCCTTTAAATCTGTACAAATGCATAAGTTAATGTTAAAATCCACTTAATAATTTAAATTCCAGGACAGTACTGTTATATCTGAAACAAAAACATTAGATTTATTTTTCTTTCATTAGAAAGTTGAATAAATGACTAGTACTACTTTAAAATGAAGTTTTATTCACATAGATTAATGTCAGATAAATGAAGCATACTTATGAAAATTACTATAAGAATATTAACTTAACTGTCAGAACAATTATACTACTAAGCATATATTCAGTTAATGAATTTAGTTATATTTTATTCAAGTCTTTAAAAAGGGAAAATTCCCCATTCCTAAGAGGTATCTTATTCAGTATTTGACACACAATACTGTTAGAAGTTCCTGAAATATAAGCAGAGAATAAAGGCTGCTGTTTGTTTTGGAACTTTACCTCTTGCCTTGCCGGGCTCATCCTTACAAATTCACAAAATGTCTCTACCTTATGCATTCCTTCAGCACTTGACATGGTGCTCTTCTCTGAGAAACCCTTGTTAGCAGTTCTGTCCTCTGAAAGTTTTGCATTTGCTACTTCCAGTTTCTTCTGTAAATACTCAATTTCAGACTTCTGTGAGACCATTAATGTTTCTAAACTTGATAAAGATGGCTGCTGAGATGCCTATTAAAAAGTATATATGTAAGTGTATATGTATGTTTGTATCTTACAATATTTATAAATATATGCAAACACACACATATATATTATATAAATCATAGGTACTTAGAGAAAGAAAATTTAATTCTAACAATAAGCCAAATACTACCATTACTAAATCTTCTCATTCCAATATAAAGTTATTGTTTTGGAAAGTTAAGCATGAGTAAATGTAAATATTTTTATAAATAATACTGTAATTTGGACTTATAGGAAAAAGTTAAATGATGGCTGAATGATACATATTATTCATCTATTTATTAGTTTTTTCAAGTTTATAATTACAGACATATATATTTTCTCAAAAAATCCACCATCTGATATTCAAGTCATAAAACAGCACAGAATACAAGCCTGAGAAAAAGGAGACCAATAACATATAGGTCCAATTAGCATTTAATGTATCATAACTTAATAATGAGTCCTTAAGAACTGTGATTCTTTTAAAAGTTAATATTCTTCATAGCATTCTCTTTTGAAATTTATGCATGAGTCAGATAAGCTGATAATGGTAAGCCTCACATTTTAGCAACAAAAATCACAAAAAAGTTAACTTTGTAGGAAACCTGTTTAATAAAACTTGCATCCTGCAAAATTCTACTAATGTCCCCAATTGGATATGTTTGAGACCATCAAAACCTATGTATGTATGCTATTTCAAAACAATCACTACATTTACAAGAAGGAAAACTACTAAATCACAGTGAAAAGTTTTTGTCGATTTTCCAACAAGTGAATGTCAAATCTTATGTGACTATTACCAAGATGGATGTAGTACTCTTGAAAATATTTTCATTTACACTGAGAATCCTATTCTTCATTAATGATAATCCCTAACAACTATGAGAAAATATATTTATAACAAAAGATATGTTAACTCTAAATCAATAGGAAGTACCACCTCTTTTTCTACTTTGACTACTTTTTCTTTTTTGTGGGCTAGGAAAACATTTCCTAACTCTAATTTACAATTGTTATGATGAAGAAGTTATCTTTGATTTATACTTTCATATTACATTTTCCTCATATTTATATCAATTATTTTCCAACATTTATTCTATCATACTACTACCAAGTGTTTTCCTCAGAGTTGTTTATTTTCTATTTTCATTATAATTATTCCATTACCTTGTTTTGAACATTAAATTATTTTAGGAATGAGCATTTTTCCTAGCAATTAAGACACCTGCATCCTGTATCAGAATAGTTGTTTTCAATTCCCAGCTATGGATCCTGACTTCAGCCTCTTGTCAACATATACCCTGGTAAGTAGCAGTGATAGTTCAGTTAACTGGGTTCCTGTCACTCATATGGGAGACCCACTTTATGTTCCTAACTTCTGACTTTAGCCTTTGCCTATCTCTGGCAGTTGTAGGCATTTGGAGAATGAACCAGCAGATAAGAGCTTCTTCTTCTGTCTCCCTCTCCTTCTTTCTCTCTTTCTCTGCCTCTGAAATGAGTTTTTAAAAATATTAAAATATTTTACATATTTTTCTTCTAGTAAGTCTACATGTTTTCTCCTATTCCTTCCTTCCCATTTAAATCACTGAAGGGATTTTATTTTTTCCTATTTTATAACTGAAAATATGAAGTGTATGATTTTTTCCTCTGGTGGGCCTAACAACCTAAACAATCTTCAGTTACTATGTGCTCTTATCCAGTTTTTCTTTAATAAAATTATGCAGCATGTATTAATATTCCTCATTTGCAAAACAAATTTTGAATGCTTTGTTCAAGGTCAAACAAAAACTTATAAATTAGGAAAAGCATAATTTTAATGTATTAGTATTTCTAATAAGCAATCCAGTATTCTTTGATCAATGAATTTTCTAAATCATCAAAGTATTATACTGTTATAGCTACCAATTTTTAAAAAAATTCAGTCAAGATGTTGCAGTGACAGATAATGTAAATATTAAAGAAGATATTTAAAATGCTCCAGTGGTGGATACTGTCACTAAAATCACATCAGACTTATTTCTAAAAGTATTTCTATTAATATTAATGATGTATTACTTCTGACAATAAAGCTATTTAGGCAGAATTTCTGCAACATTTCTCAATCAACAGTAACAGAACTTAAAAATTAAAATACCATGAAAGTAGTTATACATAGGTGCCAAGAAGAAAGTGTAAATAAATCAGGTAGGCTATGTTTGCTTTATGCTAAAATAACAGCTTTTGAATTCATTCAACAAAGACACTTTGAATACTTACTAAACCATGTATAAATTTTCTTCATAGCCACAAAATCTTAACATGCTCCTTTTCTTAAACTGTGCCACACCTTCTCATTCTGTCTCTCACCCTTTATTACTTTTTCTAGAGATATATTCACAATGAGCATTTCACATCTCTCTTACTACAACCACTTTTTTTAAAAAAAAATTTATTTACATATTTGAAAGGCAGAGTTAGAGAGAGGGAGGCAGAAGCAGGGAAGTGAAAGAGAGAGAGATCTTCCAAGTGCTGGTTCATTCCACAGATGGTCACAATGGCCAGGGCTGGGTCAGGTTGAAGCTAGGAGCCAGGAACTTCACATGGATGCAGGGGCCCCAGCACTTGGGCCATGTGCTACTGCTTTTCCAGGAGCATTAACAGGGAACTGGATCAGAAGTGGAGCAGCAGGGACAGGAACTAGTGCCCATACAGATGCCAGCACCACAGGCAGTGGCTTTATGTGCTAAACCACAGCATCAGACCCAACAATCACTTTTGTTTAAAGTAAAAGTGAAATGACAGGTCAAACAACATTCAGCCTCACCATGGAGGCATAGAGCAAGTATTTGAGGCAGCTGATATTCAATTCCAGCCAATTGTTTTCACAAATTGTGGCTCACCACTGCCAGATCCTGACTTTTCAACAGTATCAACAACTTGGAATTTCCTTTTTTAAGATTTTTTAAAAATTTATTTGACAGTAGAGTTACAGACACTGAGAGGGAGAGACAGAGAGAAAGGTCTTCCTTCAATTGGTTCACCCTCCAAATGGCTGCTACAGCCGGCGCGCTGCGCCAATCCGAAGCCAGGAGCCAGGTGCTTCCTCCCAGTCTCCCATGTGAGTGCAGGGCCCCAAGCACTTGGGCCATCCTCCACTGCCTTCCAAGGCCACAGCAGAGAGCAGGACTGGAGAGGTGCTGCCGGGACTAGAACCGGCACCCATATGGGATGCCAGCGCCGCGGGCGGAGGATTAACCTGGTGCGCCACTGTGCCGGCCCCAAGAACTTAGGATTTCTAAGGGAAGTTTTCCAAATTTTTAAATGTTGGTTGTGCCAGTTTATGAATCCTATACTTTAAAAATATGGTGGTAGAAGTATAATCTACTACATATTTTCCAGGGAAATTTTAAAATATGCATCAAAGACTATAAGAATATACCACATTTTTGACTTAGCATCCTAATTATGTTGATAACTGATAAGCTAAGATATACATGAAAAATTGAGTGAGAAAGAGCATAAAATGACATCCAGTAAGTACTATGTGGATATAGAATGTCCCAAACATGTGTAGAAAATAACCGTATGATATTAAAACATTCTATAACCCTTAAAATCATAAGCTCTTTGAAAAGTTAATTTTTCTTGCTAATGATTATAATTTTATATAATTTTTTCTCTAATATTAAAAAGTCTCATGCTCCTTTTGAGTTTACATTCTCAGAATAAGATAACATGGCACTAGACCAGTGATTCTGATGAGAAATGATTAGTGGAATATGTACATGAAGCCCTCAGTTGTAAATAATCTCTTTAAAACATATTACTGGCCAGCGCCGCAGCTCACTAGGCTGATCCTCCGCCTTGCAGCGCCGGCACACCGGGTTCTAGTCCTGGTCGGAGCGCCGGATTCTGTCCCGGTTGCCCCTCTTCCAGGCCAGCCCTCTGCTGTGGCCAGGGAGTGCAGTGGAGGATGGCCCATGTGTTTGGGCCCTGCACCCCATGGGAGACCAGGAGAAGCACCTGGCTCCTGCCTTCGGATCAGCGCGGTGCGCCCGCCACAGCACACCAGCCGCAGCGGCCATTGGAGGGTGAACCAATGGAAAAGGAAAACCTTTCTCTCTGTCTCTCTCTCTCACTGTCCACTCTGCCTGTCAAAAAGAAAAAAAAAGGACCTACAGAAATATAGAACAAAAGGTGTGGGCCTTTAAGTGTTGTGCCCATAACTATTTTAAAAATTATACAACTTTAGCCTGGTGTTTAGTGTAGCAATAAAATGCTCAATCCCATTTCAGAGTACCTGGATTTCACACTAGCATCTGGCTCCTGACTCCAGCTTCCTGCTAATTACTTCCTGGGAGGCAGTAATGATGGCTAAAGTAACTGGTTATCTGCCATCCACATGGGGAACATGGACTGAGTTACTGACTCCCAGCTTCAGCTCAGCCTAGTCCCACTCATTGTAGGCATTTAGGAAATAAACTAGTAGATGTGAGCTCCTTCTTTTTCTCTCTCCCTCTCTCTCTCTCAAAATATAAATAAAAATTGTAAAAATAAAATTAAGCAAACTAAATATCTAGTCAGGTGGCATTAGATCCAAGCAACATTTATAGCATTATGAGAGTGGAGGCTGATTGAATATTGCCTGAAAAATAGAAAAATGTTTCATAGCTATAATAATTGCAAAGAATTGTAAACTAAATAAGTTCTAATAAGTATTTTATCAGTAAGTTCTAATTAATATTTTTTATTTCCTATTGTATTAAAAATAATAACTATGTAGCATTTAGGAATGAAGTATTTAGTACCTAGTTCTTATTAAGCATTTTATATACATAAACACATTTGTTCAGGAAATTTATAAATTCTAAACCTATCAACACACAATGCAGACATAATTGTAAAATCAAAAATACTTAACAAGGACATATCTCAGTAAAAATGACAGTTTACCCTAAAATAATATTTCAATGAAAATTCAGTTAAGTCAAATGCATGTGTGTGTAAAATTTGAAATGTATATG